CGTTGAGCTGCTGCTGACGTCGACTCCCAAGTTTTTGCGATTAGATCGTATGGTAATAAGTGTTGGACATGCAATCACATATGTAAGTATGAATATACCGAATAAGAATAGGCGGCATGTTATGCCGCGCTTTAGCGTCTTGAACAAAATCGCTTGGGCAAAGAAGTTATTTTATGCCCACAAGCGATTGTTCGCTTTGCTAGTCTGTTATAAATTTCTACATATGTTTACATATTATGTACATATGATAAATGTGGTTTATTTTTAATTTGCTATTCACTTGAGCGATTAAAACTATAATAAGTTAAAAAGGTTTCTCCGAACTACACAGGACATAAAATGCAGTGTAGAATATGTGCTGTAATTGACACTTCTTTTAATTGCTGCATAAAGAGTTAGTTAGCCTGTGTCCCTTTGCTAATAATATTCTCATTGTGTAGTAAATATTTAAAAATTTTATGATAACCACATTTCTTAAATTAAGAATCTCGTTCGGTGGAGAATATACTACAGCTACTGAATTGATATAACTACTAAAGCTCCTACTTCTCAGAGTACACAGTTTTTATCTACCTTACAAAGGCATACAATTACATCCACCTTTTTGTGGATTTTTTCCGACGTCCTCGTAAAGTGTATTAAGTTCGTGTATGGGCAAAAAAATAACGAAAATAAGTTGTATGTATTCGTTTCCAGCCACATTTTATATAGAAGACGTATACAGAAACGAAGGAATGCATTTTTGAAGTGAATAAAAGAATTTCCAGGCAACACTTTGCTGTAACTGCCAAAATGTACAAATCTGTACAAATGTAGAAGTTGTGTGGGCCATTTGGCTACTTAGCCTACCAGATATTCCCTTAAGTTCCCTAAATCCCTTATTTTTTGCAAAATGGTATCCAATTTTACCTTGATTTTTTGCCCAAGTTCATCCTGAATAGTTATTATTTCCGACAAGAAGCTGTAGTTTGCATTGATATAGGCTAACCGTGCTTCCATCGAATTTGACGATATTGCTTTTTTCGCCTTCAATATTGAAAAAGCGTCACTATCATTTGGATCTTTAAGGAAGGTTTGAAATTCCTTAAAATGTAGACAATAATATTTTGCCGCCTCTAACCAGGCTCTCCATCACGTTAATATTGGCTGTGGCGGAAAAGCGATATTGGAATACATGTTCTTAAAATATTCAACGCGCAAAGCAAATTTTAAAAATATTTTTTTCCCATTCGATATTATAATCGTCAACATCAGTGAAGCGAGCTCTTACATCTTCGGCCACTCGGTGCAATGCGTGCCAAACAAGTAACATGCAGTAACTTTGAGTACAATATCTTCTTCGGCGCCTTTGCTGGTTATACCACATCCAGCCCTAACCGCCAAAAAAACGTAAACGACATATATTTCAAAAATTTTCTTTTTGTTGCAGAAATGCCCCTAGAGCATCTAGATGCAAATCTGCATAAAGAAAATTAAAAAAATTAAAAAATATTTCACGTTTTTTGGCGGTTAGGGCTCGATATATGGCACTGCGTCAGTGGCATTAAAATAATTTTCGACGAAATCAGTACCCAATAGTTGCATAGAATCATCAAATACTTTTCAATTGTGGAGTGATTCGTCCGTTCTAGACAAACGGCGTTTAATAAAAAATGCAACTAAATATGCCTTTTTGATCAAATATGCCTATATATGCACTTTGTTTGTTAGGAAAATTGGAAAAAATAAAACAATGCTTAAGCGCATGATTCAATAATACAAGGTTAGATAATTATTGACAGCTGCGGTTTGACACTCCCTTACAAAAGGTTGCATTTACGAAGGACAGAGAAAGGGCAAGAATGCAATCCCTTGTTTCGAAAATGGTAGTAGAAAAGTACGCAAAGTAGGCAGTTAGTAGTGAAATTCCTTTCGTAAATTCCAATCTATTTGCAGGAAATCTGGCATTTTAAACGAAATGTTGAACGTAATATTGATATATCTACGTGAATTACGTAATTTATATGCTATTTAGCCGTATAAAAACTGCAAAATGACTCAAAATTAAAATAAGACTACTATGAGATTGATGTAAACATCCAATGCTTATGTTTTCATCAGTTAAATATGCTTCATATGCATATACAAATAAACATATTGCACAAAAGCTTATACTTTTATTTCACACCAAAGCTACACTGTTTCCATGTAAATTTGCAAAGAAGCAACACGGTGCCACTGCTAAGGGAGCGGTGCGAGAGAGACAACTGTCAGTTTATCGAACCTTGTATTATTGAATCATGGCTTAAGCGGAAGAAGTGATAGCAGCTATTTCGGAGATCACCACATCTCATCAGACTTCTTTTTTTTATTTTTTATTTTTTGATGTTGGTCGGAAACCAGGCTTGAACCCAGGTCCAGCGGAATGGCAGTGCGCACTGCTAACCACAACACCACAGTGGCCGCTAAATTAAGCTTTATGGAATCTAATAGCACTGTAAAGAAAATCTCAAGTTTTGAAATGACACAATAAAACGCCGAAACACGTGAACTTAATTTTGAGTCGTAGATTACGAATCTGAATTCTATTTTTCTAGATTAGGCAATTTCTCGAAATATTTTCATTTTTATGAAAACATCAGCTTTAAAAGGGAAATATTTAAAAACTAACCGATTTTTTTGTAATTTTTTGTCATTTGAATTAAAGCCTGTTATTCTAGAAAAAAAAATCATGCTGGCTGGAAAATCGATGGATAAAGAAATGTGTAAGTTGTGAATAGTCCAATCCTAATGTGTAATGATTTTTTGGGTGAAATATTACTCATACGCCATGTGCGCGGTCATACTCATACATGGCGTATGAGTAACATATTCCATTTTAAAATTTGATATTTTTTTTCATTCATAATACAAACATAAAATGAAAATATCTTGGTTAAACAAGCTCGGTTAGGGTCAATTGCCCATGTGAAGACCTTAGTTGGACTTTAAACTTAAAGGAACCTTCGAGAAGATTTATAGTGAAATAATGTGGAAAGGACTTAATGATATTGGTATAGGGAACACTAAAGTTAATTCGTCCCGTTGTTTCCTCTCTGCTAGGGAGCAACAAACTGTGATCAACGGATAGAGCGCGAGGGTAGCAGTCAGATTTGACTGCATTTTAATCACTACAAAATATTGGCTATTTGAATGAAAGTTTCGGCATAGAAACTAGTCTTTTCCATCCGTTCTAACAGCGTGGCTCTCGTCCATTTAGATCGGCGGTTTTACGGCATGTGACGAGATATCTTCTTCTTCTTCTTATTTGGCGCTGTAACCGCTTAAGCGATTCTGGCCGAGTTCAATAAAGTACGCCAGTCGTTTCTTTTCTGTGCCAACTGGCGCCAATTGGAAATGCCAAGTGAAGCCAAGTCCTTCTCTACCTGGTCTTTCCATCTCAGTGGGGGCCTTCCTCTTCCTCTGCTCCCACCAGCGGATTCCGAGTTGTATACTTTCAGAGCGGTGTCCATTCGAACGACATGACCAAGCCAGCGGAGCCGCTGTATTTTAATTCGCTGCACTATGTCCATATCGTTGTAAAGCTCATACAGCTCATCGTTCCATCGTCTGCGGTACTCGCCGTCGCCAACGCGTAAAGGCCCGTAAATCTTCCGCAAAATCTTTCTCTCCAATACTCCAAGAGCCGCCTCATCGGATGTTGTCATTGCCCATGCTTCTGCGCCATATACCACCACGGGCATGATGAGCGGCTTATAAAGTGTGGTTTTCGTGACGAGATATCAAATTTTGAAATTTTAATATATTGAAATTCGTAGATATTAAAACAGCGAAATGCAACACATCAGCGAAGAAAAAAAAATGTGGCATACTCGACGGCATTCGAAAGAGACAGGTTGGTATTTTAAGATGCCGTGAATAGTTTTCTGTAAAAAAAATATTTGCGATGCTACATAACCTCAAATACGTCGAAAGCCTAACGTGTTTGAGAAATTCTTAGCCCAGATTCGGATTCAGCCTAGAAAATTGCAAGGGCAGTCATTTACAACAAAGTCATAATAAAATAGTGTATAATAGTGATGTAAGCGTAATTCTTTTTTACGAATTCGACTCCTATTTTATTACCCACAAAGCGATTTTTCGCGGCTCTGAGTGCCGAAAGAGAGAAAAAAATGGTGCACTGAGTCAGCAAGATGTGGTAATTATAACCGAATAATATCTACATTTATGGCCGGTTAGCAATGGCTGTTTAACACTAATCTACGGTTAAAAATATTTATCGACGTTTTCGACTCCATACTAGGGATGTTGCGAATGTGGAACTTTAGACATCCGCGGATGCGAATGCGGATGCGGATGTTTAAAAGCTAACATCCGCGGATGCGGATGCGAATGCGAATGTCAAGTATTTTTAAGAAATAATTTAGGTGAGCAAATTAGGTGATTTAGGTAAATAAAAAATGGAAAAGTTAGTAATTTTTCATATTATTTTTTTTATTTAGTACTTGAATTTAAAAATGGGAACATTGTATTTAATAAAAAGTAATGTTACTGCCTTTTCGGGTTACAGCCTGTTTTTCAAAGGGTCGTTAATAAAATCTGCGCCACTTAAAACTACTCGCTCGAGGCGACAGACTTGAAACACTTGATACTTGACAAAATTGTAAATTCTTGATAATTAATTGAATATTCGTAAAAACCCTGCTCCATGCATATAACAGAGTATCAGTAATGTCGATAACGATGTTTAATCGGAGATAAGTGGTAACCAGACATTGATCAGCCGGCCATTGGCGATGTAAATAAACTCTTTTCTCATAGTTTGTTTGTCCATAAAGCATGTTTATAAACTGAAAGGATAAATGCTTTTGATAGAAAACATAACAAAAAAATGTATTTGATGGCTTTCAAAAACACAAAATCTTCCGTCTCTTTTTCATATGCGTCATGATTGTTTCTCTTTGGTATATTTTTAATTTCAAAAACTTAACTAATTCAAAGTTTTTCTTTTTTACTTACAGGAAATATTCAACTGGCATGTAAGTATTTAGATAAAGTCGTTAATGTCTTCTATTTGAGCTCTCCATCCGCCAGCGCGTTCCAAGTGAGCAAAGGCAGCAAAATTACTTTTTTTGAAACATAATATTCCCCTTTTGAACTTTGACTACTAGATTAAAATACTGTACAGGTTAAGGCCTCTTTCAATGTTCTAATAATTTACAAAATTTTTAAGTAATAAAAACGATGACTTAAGTTGATTATTGCTTTTTTAATGTTATTCCTAATATTCGCATTCACATTCACATTCGCATTCGCGAATACGCGGAAAGGTGTTCTGCGCAAAAATACTGTGGCCTCGGGTCTAGTTTAGCATAGGCAAAACTAGTTTGTCATAAGATCGGGTGTGGCTGGTAACATACATATATAAAATATGCAATGAAGCGATCGAAAATTAATGCAATAGAGTGTGCTACACTTTCGGAAAGTAATTTATAATATAAAGATAACCATGGTGGAATTATACAAGGTGTTGTACGTAGTGACAGCTCATGTCGACAGCTCCCTTACAAAAGGTTGTAATATGGAAGCACGAGAGAAACGGGAAGAAAAAAAGCCCGCTTTGCGAAGTAGTACGAAATTTGGCACTATTTTTCATATAAAATTTTGCATATAAATAGTTACAAACGGTATATTATGATAAGCTAAATTCGCGAAAGTAGTATATATAACGTAGTACTTATGCAATAAATGGTAATTTAGTTTATTAAACACAATGTCCTATAATTATAGTCAAACTTCCAAAACCAAAAAATTAGTGGTGACCCCGAGTCGTTACANAAGATGGCGGATTAGAGCGAGAACGCTGTCAATATCCAACACCTTGTATTATTCCACCATGAAGATAACTACGAATAATAAAGCGGGAACAAAAAGTTTTATTTGTCAAACAAAATACTTGAACAAAAATCTGCCCAAATGAAAAATTATTTACCTTTTTACCAACCCAAATTTTGTCTACCATTTTTGGCAGTAATTTACCAAAGTGGAAACACTGCTCGTGATAGAAGTGAAACTTCTTAAGAAACTACGAATACAGTTGCTTTTTGTATCTAATGTTGGTACCAAGTTGATACGTTTTTATCATTCTTCACATTTAATCTTTTTTTAACTTTAATTATTATTATTTTTTTTTTGATACGAAAGTTATAATCATTCTTTGTCGCTTTATTCTGTATTCGAAAAATTATAAGTTTTAATGAAATTGAATTCAGTGTTAAATATTTGAATAAATCATTTAGATTTAGATAGTGTTTTTAACAATTTATTTGAGAAAAATAAAACATTTCGATTTTTGTTTGTATTTTCGTTGATTTTAAATTTGTTATCCCAAAATAATTGATATTAAATAAAACACCTCTTTGAGGTAAAGTTTTGCACGCTTATGAAATGCTTAAAGTTTGAGTCATAATTCTTAGAGCATATTTTCAATCGCAAAAATTCATATTTCAGCATATTTTGCAGTAAATGGATATTTTCGGATACTTTGCGCTGCGGTGTTAAGTTTAGAATAAAAAAAAAATCTGAAATAATAATAACAATATTGTAACATATAAAGTTTTATTTATGTGTGAGAAAGGTAATACTACATATTTATATGTTTCGCTCTTGACAGATGAGTTGTCCCGCCACTGACCCGCCATGGCGCGCCATTATAATTTCCTTTGGCAAGCAATTAACAAGGTTTTCATCAAACACAAGTAAATATGTTTTGTTATTGAAGTCGTTATTATTACTAGTACTAGGTTACGCAGCCAGTTAAAAAAAACGTAGTTCGGTTACAGGCTACGTGTTACTACTACGAGTACTAGGACAAAGTTACGTAGCGGGAGTCAATTGTCACCTCCTAGGACAACTCCATATTAAATGCGATAGCAGAAAGCATGGGTGGTAGATTTGCGGTGTATCGGTATTCGACTCCCGAACTCCCGACTAGAACTTTCCGCTGCAGGGTACATATCGTCGTTTAAAGTACAAAACCGCGTATCAACAAAATGCAAAAACGCGTATGTGAGGTAGCATAAATTACTTTTTAGAGAGTAAAAACACTCATATTTCAAAATGGTTCTCGTTTTTATAAAGCAATCACATTTATGGCTAGTATATTTCAGGACGAATGGAAAAGGCTTAAGCCAAGAGCTTGTATGAGTAAATCCAATTTTTGGCTGCAAATGTCAGTTACGCGGTTTTGCTGTATGACGATATGCGGTTTTGTACTTTAAACGAAATTTATAATATAATAAATTTATAAATTTTATATTTTATAAATTTATGTATATACACTTTTATGAAATTTTAATCGATCTTGATGTCGATATTTTTGACGGTTTTGTTATCAGTATTTTATTGGATGTTACTATCGATTTTGTTATCGATAGAGTATAAAGATAAAAATGAAGATATAGGAAAACAAAATAACATAAATGTAATTACAACGAACAGGGGTAGAGGTAGGGATCTAGATAGAAAAAAAGGCAAAAAATATAACTTTAAGCAAAAGCAAATGTATGTACATATGTACATATATATGTATATTGGTTATGAGACAAAATAAATATGTATGTAACGTAAGTTTCACTTCTCCAGTGTGGCCCAGGCGTACTTACTTTTTTTAATTTTGAACTGAGTCGTTATAGCAGAGGACCACCGATATGTACATTAGCGTGGGCCGAAAATCCGCTTTTTTGAGAATGAGCAAAAATATGGTTCACTGTGATCTAAAAACACTCTGTGTGAAATATGACAATTTTTGGTCAATATCTTAGGCTCGCCCAAGTCCATCAAAGTTCAATATGGGCAAAAAACAAAAATTTATAAATAAATTAAGTAATACGTTTTTTTTACTAAAATTGCAATAATCTTCTAAAGTTTTAGTCCTACATAGTTAGGTATATGGACCTTTTTTGTAGAGAATCGAAGTTAGCTAAGAAAAATTTTTTTTAGTACAGGTATTTTTTTAGAGCATAATGAACCATATTTTTGCTATTACCAATCAAAATTCTAAAAAAGCGGATTTTCGGCCCACGCTAATGTACATTATACGTACGTATGTATGTAGGTATTTTTCTGGCTTACAACGGTGCTGTACATATTTGTCACATCGCCACATGTTGAAAATGTAGGGAAAAAAGCAGATAGCAAAAGTGATTGACAAGTTTTCGAAATTCACTGGCGGGTTGTCATGTGGCCTAATTGGTATGTTATTGTTCATTGTTTTCGTTGCCACAATTCTGTCACTCTCTAATTTAACTAAACTTAACGAGCATTTATGTATGTAGTATGTATAGAGAGGTGTAGCATTGCTATCTACATATACATACATAGTATTAAATGAAGTCAATGTTTTTAAACACGTTAATCTTGCAAAGTTCTTAATGGGTTTAAATAAAATTTTGGGATGTTATTTTTTAGGTATCTGGTCTCAGCATAGCTTACCAAATAACTTAATATGTGGCGCCGGGGTCGTTACTTAAACAAGTAATTTTTAGCAAAAAAAAACCGACTTCAACTCCCATATAAAAAAAAAAATATATATATATATATATATATATATATATATATATATCATGATCCACTGATCGGATCTCAACCAGATTAGTATGGGACCACCTCTGAATTATCGAAATCGGTTGACGTGGTCCAAAGTTATGCGGTAACATACATAAAAAAAATATATATATTCCAACGAACTGATAACCTCCTCCTTTTTTGGAAGTCGGTGAAAAAAAGGTCCGATTTAGTTCAAACTTAGTACGCACACTACCTTTATAATAAAAAATAGACTTGAATAAAATCGGGTCGCCAGATGGCGTTCGCAAACGGATGAAATATTTATATCCTAACCATAATATAGAAAAGCCCTAACTCACTTTTGTTTGCAATTTAGGTGAAACCTTACAGAATTTCTTTAATTTTTGTACAAAGTTTGATCCAGAACCTGAGATCTACCACTTTTTTTTTAAATCTACCACATTTTTTTCCAGATTCTACCACACAGAATTTTTTTTAAGTCCGGTCACTGGTTTCTGGTAAAGAAAAAGTCATTTTAAAATTTTATCCTTGAAATTGCGCAATATTTGTTTTTGAAAAAATTATACGTTAAGGGTTATATAAACTCGACAACATCCTCTAATTTCGTTCTTCAAACTTTGTCAGCTTAAAAATTACTTATTCGTCCTTGTAAATTCAAAAAATCTTAATTTTTTAAATTCAAAAGAAATTTCCTATTGCATTTTTTACCCATATTTTTATTCTAAATTGCACTAAATTATTTTAATAATTTTTGGAATTAATCATATCTTTGAAATTACAAGGTCCTTCAAAATAAATCCTGCGGTCAGAGAAAAAAATAAAAACGCCGCTTTAAATAAAAAGTAGGTTTCAAACCCATTTATTTATTATTAATTTCATGGTAGGAGAGCTTTTCAAACAATATAGAAGCAATTTTTTCGATTCAAGTTGTTGAAAAGTAATTAATATCTAAATCCTTCGGGATCCCGGGATTGTGACAACGCCATCCCAAAAATCTCGGGATCGGAAAAAGCCGGAAACTTAACATCCATAGTGAGTACCACCTCTGTATGATTGTAAGTCAAGCAGAGTCCCTAGAACACTCCGGAACAGTGTTCGGAGGATGCATCAGACTAGGCCTAGCATACTTTGAACTAAAATCAAATTATAACTTAAGAAAGTTTTATTACATGGCAGTTTTCATTAATTTAATGAAGGAAATGTTTGCACATGCAGCAGTACATAGAATGCACTTAGGCGCCTGGTGTTCCCAGTCGCGCCTAAACACCTTCAACACAATCATGCGAAAGCGACGAATATTTTTAAATGGCGAAAAATATATTCAAATCTCCATCAGCAGCTGCAGCATTAGATCGAGTACATATTTCAGATAGACTACATGACACTCGAAATGTATAAAAAGTATTGGGTCACACCATTTTTTTTTTTGCATTTGTATAGTGGGCATTCG